CATCTTTGGAGATGTTTTTTACTTTTGTCATGTTTAAGGAAGAATAAGGACCCTAGTCACCAAACAACTTGTACTGTCACTGTTACTTCTGAGCTTGGGGACACATTTGGTCTCTCCCCAGTGGTGAGAAAGCTTCAGACTCCCAGTCAGTACAACATTTCCCTCAACCAGTGTTACTGGCTTGTCCACACAGCAGGAGTGAGGTCTCCACTGTGATCATGAGTGCCAGGAGGAGTTCTGGGCTGGGGTCTCCACCAACCTTCTCTTCTTCACTTTTCCAATTTATTCTGGTGAGATAAATCCAACTGCATTTTGATTAATCCCCTTGTTTTAAGTTGGTCTTCTGCGGCCAGTCACATTTTGCTTACTATGTGTCTCACTTCTGCTTTGTCTGCTTTGTCTCCTGCCTGTCTGAGCTGCTGATTCAAAATAAGTGAAATGTTGGTGCCCTCTAATGGACATTGATTTTAAAAGCTCTTTATTGACAAATGAACATTTATTGTTGCTGTCAGTTCTGACTCAAGACAACCCCGAAGTGTGTAGAGTAGAACTAACTGCTCCATAGGGTTTTCAATGTTGTGACCTTTCAGAAGTAGATATCCAAGCCTGTCTTCAGAGAAACCTCTGGGGTGTGTGTGGGGGTGAGGAGGGTTTGAGCCACCAGCATTTCTGCTGGATGTTCAGTGCTTCACCATTTGCATGCTCCAAGGGCTCCATGTTGTTGTTGTTGTTCTTGTTATGTGCCATTGAGTCAGACCCGACTCATAGGGATGACCCCTCCTTGGGTTTCCGAGGCAGTAGCACTACGGAAGTAGATTGCCCAACCTTCCTTCCGAGGAGTGGCTGGTGGGTTTGAACCGCCAGTCTTCTGGTTTGCAGTCAAATGCCTTAGGCACTATGCTACCAGAGCTCCCATGGTTGGGTTTATTTTGTTGGAGTTTCTGTTTGCTTTTTTAATTAGTTAGCAATTCCTCAAAAGAAATGGATGGGTCAATATGGTTAATACAGTAGACAAAAGCTGCAGAGGTCAAAGCAAAAAAATAAATTGTGTTATAGCTGTCCTCTCAGTGCTTAAACTTTTTAGATAATGTGTTGTGAACAAAGATAATATAAATTATACTTCCTGCTTTTGTTATAGAATGAGGTGGGAAAGGTAAGAAAAGCTAATGTTTTAAAATCTATTAATTAATAAGAATTTCAGTCTTTCCTATAGCATGATTTTTCTCCATAGGACAAAATTAATTCCCTGAAATACAAATTGAAGCATCTGGATTTTTGTTTTTGTTTTTGTTGCTAGGGAGAGGAAAGCTTGTCCAAAACTCGGGGTTATTTGATGAATGTTGTCTGGAATCCAATCAAGAAAATATTTGATTTAATAGATAGTGCTTTGATTTGAAAATAAGAATTTTTTTCCTGAAATAAATATTATGTAAATAATTGATTTATAAAATAATAATAATTCTGTTTTCATTTATTGGCACTGCCATTATTTCAGAGGCTTGCTTTTAAAGTTTAAATAGGATTATGGGTTACATCATGAATGTGAGGCCTTGGCTAATCCTTAGCCCATAGCCTAATGCATTCAGCCAGAGCAAAGCTTTTTGGTCCAGTGTCTTCTATGGGAATCTATTTTACAAGGCATGGACCGAACAACTTCACTAAGGGAAGCCATCCTTTTAGGAGCCAAGTGTCCACTTTGAGAGGAAGAAACAAGTGTTACAGCAGCCACTCCAGCCTCATGTGAGAAATAACGTAATATAGGAGCCACTCCCCGTATTGAAGGTTATGTATTCTGGAAGGGCAAAAAAAAAAAAAAAACCTGGTAGGGAAACTTGCAGTTGAAAATAAGATTTCAGTGAAGAAGAGAGGAGGGAGAACCAAAGTTGCAGTGAACATATAAAAACTTGCATAAAAATTAGGTTGATCAAAATAAAAATCTAACAGCAACATCTGAAATAAAGATAACACCAATGACATTTTATTCATCTTGAAGTTCAGTCACTCTAAGCCTATAATATTGGCATTGATAAAAGCAATGACACGAAAACACCCACATGCCCTATTTGTTATCCTCTCCAAGTTCTGGTGAAAAGCACCATCCTCATCTGCCTGGAACAATCTCCTTCTCATTCATCATTCTGAAGGATAGCAGCTTAGTTTATGAACTCTGGAAATCTCTGTAGTAAGGAGCCCTGGTGGCACAACGATTAGGCACTTGACTGGTAACCTAAAGGTTGGTAGTTTGAATCCACCCAGTGGCTCTGCAGGAAAAAGACCTGGCAATCTGCTCCTATAGGGCATGCTATTCATAGCATGGGGTGACTATAAAGCAGAATTGACTCGAAGGCATCTAACAACAGCAACAATCTTCATGGCAACAGCCATAGTTTAGCCCTCATCTAGGTAAACTATTTTAATCTATTTTCCAGCCTCAGGCCCTTTCCTCTTTCCACAAGAAATGCAATCACACTTCGATTTCTTCATTTTTTTTTCTCTTGGAAGATGAACAAGGAATTTATAACACACCTCATAATTCTTCATTTCATAAGTTCCCAACAGACAGTCTTTTCTCCCAAAGTCCCTCTTTCGCTAAACTATGCACCAGGAACTCTTTCCTCCCCAAATCCTTTCCACACTAAGCACTCATCTCAGCTCTTTCCCTTACACCCTCCCCTAGTGCCACTTGCCCCCACCATCCAGTGCACCACTTATCATGAAGAGAAATGTTTTCTTCGTTCAGGGCCTGTTGTTGTTGTTGTTGTTATGTGCCATCAAGTCGCACCCGACTCATAGCGACCCCTCCTTGGGTTTCCAAAGCAGTATCACTACAGATGCAGATTGCCCCATCTTCCTTCCAAGGAGTGACCAGTGGGTTTGAACCGCCAGCCTTCTGGTTAGCAGTCAAGTGCCTTAGGCACATTCAGGGCCTAGAGACTAACAAAACATCCTCTCGACGAAGTGAGTCTTTCTATGCACAGAGGAATCCTGTACAACTGCCCTGAGAAGATAATATTTGAGTGGTGTGACTAGGGTTGGTGTCACCCAGTGTAGTAACTCATGGTGTCAACCCCCCCCCCACGAACCCCATGACCATACAGAATCCTTAGTAATGTTTATTATCAATATTAATCATAGAATAATCTATAATAAATACAACTTTTTAGATTGCTTAAATGTATGATTTCTTAGATTATATGAATACTAGCAACAAAATTGCTTTGTAAATCTTTCTACATTGAACTACATTATTAGTTACAACATTATTAGTAATTCAGCAAAAGCCTTTTTTAATTTTTCTCCTTCTTTTCCTTTAATAACTACTTCATTCTCAAAAAAGTTATTGATATAGGTTCACAAATACTCATTACCACAATATTGTAGCTAGAACACCAGAACATTTGATAAAATCAGCAACTATAAAACACTGGCAAAAGCAAACACTGGCAGCAAGGAAAACAACCTGTGCTTTTAGCACCCGCCTGTGAAACCATGTGACTCATAGCATCATTCTACTTGGGTAATAATGACAGCTCTGACCGGAGCACATTAGAAGATTCACAAAATAACAGCATAGAGTTTTAGCCTTGTAGGTATATTGATACATGTAAGCTGGGTTTACGAAAAACATTTTTGTTATAACTAACTGCAGGGACATTTTTATAAACGATAATAAATTTCTGCTGAAACACTGCACAAAACATTTATCAGCAGGCATTTTGGTGTCATCCCCTCTAACAGTGTCACGCAGTGCTGTCTGCATACTCCCTCACCTAGTGATACCAGTGGTGCAGGCCCCACTGACTTCTTCAGCTATAACTTTATAATTCTTGATGCTTCTTCTCGTTCCAAATTACACTGGAATATAGGCCTAGGAATCAGCTTCTAGAGGAGGGAATGAATGGGGAGTGGAGAAACAGAAGGAACTGCCCTTTCCTTCCTTGTTCCTCTGGGGGCTTCTCCTGAGCAATCAAAGCAATTAGAAGCCAGGCACAGGAGGAAAACATGGAGGAGGAACTGGGAAGTTCAAGGGAGCCTGAGTTATTGGCAAGATCCCAATGCTGCCCCAGCAAGGGCTATCTAATGTCTCACTGATTCCCAGATCAGAGAGAACCCCGTGACCCTGGAGACTTGATGACTCATGCATGGAATGAAGAGACCCAAGACAGATGTTACCAACACAGCTAGGCCAGCTGAGCCAGCTAACCCCAGGATCAGAAAAGTGCCCAAGAAGACACATCCTTCAAACACAGAATGATATCCCAGTAGAGGGCCAGGCCTAATCTGATACTGGGGATGGGTATGCTAGACAGAATGACTGATTCCAAATGCAGGAATGAAGACTTGAGCAAGTCTAGCAATGCCTGAATGGGGCTGGATGGGCCCCAGGAGGTTGGAGGATCTGATGACTCTGATGATATTGACGGTTCAGTTTCTTAAGAACCTTGGAGCTCTGCACCTTAGTAGTGGCTAGTATTTTGGTGACTTAAAGTTAGAGAGGAGCTCTGGTAGCCTAGTGCCTAAGACATTTGACTGCTAACTAGAAGGCTGATTGTTCAAACCCACCAACCACTCCTCAGGAGGCAGATTGGGCGATCTACTCCCGTAGTGATATTGCCTCAAAAACCCAAGGAGGCGTCGCTATGAGTTGGATCTGACTTGACGGCAGTGAGCTTGGTTTAGTTTTTGGTTTGAAGTTAGAGGAGAAAAGGAAATAAGGAAATCACATGTGTGCACACATGCGTATATGGGTGTGTGTCTGTGTGTATGTGTGTCTGTATATTTATTTTTGGTGATGCTCAATAGTGAGTCAGTAGGTAGAACTATTTCACCTGGAGAAGGTTGTCCTCAGGCTAATGAAAGCACTCATTCAACCTAAATTCTGGAAATCACGCATTTGGATTAATATGCATTTGCTAAGAGAGACACCTAGTAGTCAAAATGCATCACCATGTTTTCTCTTGGCCCTTAAAAATTAATGCCAAGGTTTGCTGTCTTTTCAGGTCCTCAAGTATGTTCCACGTAATGAAGCACAGTCACTACGTCTCCCGATTTGGTAGCAAACTTGGGTTACAGTGCATCGGCATGCATGAAAACGGCATCATCTTTAACAATAATCCAGCCCTCTGGAAAGTGGTTCGACCTTTCTTCATGAAAGGTAAGCAGGTGCCTGGCTACATTCTGCTCTTTTGCCTATGAGTATCTTTTTTAAAAAAAATCATATTTTAAATTCCACTGCTTCACAGTTCTGAATTAATAAGAATAGCCAAAATTCATTAGGCACTTACTTTATTGTGGGCACTCTTCTAAGCACTTGATATTTTAATCTCACAGCAACTTCATGCTGTAAATACTCTTACATTTACATGAAATACCTACATTTTACATATCATAAAACCAAGGTATAAAGAAGTTAACTAATTTACCTAAGTTTCCAACATTAGTGAACAACAGGCCTAAGGATACAAGCCCCAAAACTGCCTATTTAACCACCACAGACTCTGCTCTTCTTGTTGGTGTGCAGAGCAAATTCATAGACATGAAGAAGAGACAGAGCACTATCAGTGTGTCAACCACACGTTTGATTTAAACACGTCCAAACAAGGTGCTTGCTTAATCGTTGCCAGCCCAGATGCTTTAGCAGAAAGAAAATTTGTGAATGAAATTAGAGAATTTTAGAACTGAAACTGTGTAATCTCATCTAGGCTCTAAGTTTTATGGTTGAGGAGATGAAGTCATAGAAAGGTTGTGATTAATATCCAGGCAGCATAGCTTGTAATAGGAGAATAGAGACCCTTTCCCAAGCCTCCTTATCCAGGGATTTCCCCTCTTTACTTCGCAATACTAGAAATGAAGCTGTTGGCTGATGGACACACACAACCAACATTTGACATTAACATCAAGGAAGACAGCCATGACCTGGAAACCTGGTCAGTGATGGAATTGGAAGCTAGGTGGGTGTTAGGTCTGACCTTGTACCTTTGGTGTTCTTCCCTTCAGCCAGCCTCTGCAGTGAAACTAGATGCCTCTTGTGTGGCTGCTAAGACAAAGACAAGCTATGCCTGTCCCAGCAGAGTACTGCCCTCCCCTCTGAGGAACTGCCCATCACCAAGACTCAGGATAATCCTAGTGTATGCACCCCCATTTTACTAGTTATCTATACCTGCTGTGACAAATTAGCACAGACTTAGTGGTTTAAACAACAGATTTATTCTTTCACAGGTCTGTAGATCCAAAGTTTGACATGGATCTCAATAAGCTAAAAATCAAGGTGTCAGCAGGGCTGTGTTCCTTTCTGGACGCTCTAGGGGAGGATCTGTTCCATCGCCTTTTCCACCTTCTAGGAGCTGCTCACATTCCTTGGCTCACAGCTTTCTTCCTCCATCTTCAAAGGCAGCAAAGACAGTCCAAATTCCTTTCACATCACATCTCTGTGACACTGACTGATCTTAGATAGGAAAGGTTCTTTGCTTTTAAGGACTCATGTGAATAGGCTGAACCCACCTAGATAGATAATCCAGGATAATCTCCCCATTTTGAGGTCCTTAATCTTAATTATGTCTGCAAAGTTCCTTTTTCCATGTAAGGTAACATATTCATAGGTTCAGAGGATAGGATCTGGCAACTTGGTTGGGGAGGGATCGTATTATTTTGCCTGTCACTCATGCTGCTATAGATCAATCCCCTTATGCCTTATGCAGAACAGGCAAGGAGCTCTGGTAGCATAGTGCCTGAGGCACTTGACTGCTAACCAGAA